GAACCGATCTTGATCGCGCGACGCGTGGGTCGCCTCTGACATTATCGCGCCGTATCGCCGTGTCCCCCGTGACGAGCGAATTTAAAGTGCGGCCAAGGCAAGCGGACGGAGTCCGAAACGATCGGCGCGATCGCTCGCAGCTATTAAATCCGAACGATGGGATACACAAATTTGCGCAAGCCCGCGGCGTAATTTGTTCCCTTTTTTACCGGGGTAAAAAAAAAAAAGAATTTGCAAACATCGCCGGCAATTTTACGAGGATCGGGTGATGCACGCTGCGGCGTCCCGCATTAGCGGGAGAAAAAATACAGTTAGGAGCGCGAACGCGTTATCTGCCGTCGTGTCGATCTCGCCTGCGCGATATAACAGTGACCGTATCTCCATGGATTTTTCATGAATATTCATGATACGCCGAGCGTTGCGGCGTTATACCGGCTTCCGCGCACACAACCCCCCCAGGTTATTATCTAGGAATCAGCCGGTCGGATAATATCGCGAGGAGCGAAGCGATACCTGAAATTTAATGATGCGGCTAACGCGGAGCGCGGCAGAAAATGCATTTTCTAAGCGGCTTTGCCGCGCTCGCGCGGATTAAAGGGAGCCTTGACGCGAGAAAGTGATTTGCGATTCTTCTCCACCTCCCTCCCTCCCCCCCGATCGATTTAATCGCGAGTTGAAATTCGGTCCGGATAAAACGACAAAGCGAAAAAATCAATATCGTTAGCATAATATCGCCATTATACGACAAGATATATATATATATTCGACGTGGGCGTAGATCTCCTCGATTTCGAGTTTGGTCTGATCGACGGGCAATCTTGCCTTAATATAAAGACGAATTCGCAATTGAAAAAGATAGCTACGCCCGCTTTCGAACCAGCGCCTCAAGAATGGACGCTTAAGGAACTCCTCCTGATCCACATGGCGCAGCAATGAGATCGCTTGTCCGCGTTCCCATTTTTTTCGACCGCTTCATCGGGATGATGTATATTATTGCAACACGCTGCCAAGTTTTTGGCACGGGACGAACAGCGCGATCATCGTAGGAGATTTATGCTACGCGATTGTTGCGTATATTGAGACCGGCTGTTGAATTTATAACAATGTGAAAAATATTGTTCTGGACGATCGTGACACTCGTGGAGCAGAAATTGTATCCGCTTATGTGATTTATAACGCGTGCCTTTTCAATCGATTAACGCGGCTACATTTTTTGTGCCTTTGAAGGCGATGATAAATAAATAACAATACTTTTGGCGGCTTCATTGGGGAAGCCGTCGTTGGGTTTGCGGGGCTAAAGTGGGCTTGTCGCGTATTCGCCAGATCGTCGCGGAAGTGCGCGAAATGGAGAAATGCACGAAACAGCTGACCGCGCCGTCGACCATATTGTCCGGACGCGCTTCTCGTGCCACGGCCGATCGGCGACTGCAGATAAAATTGCAGGGTCGACAGAAATATCGTCAAGATAACAGCGCGAGAGTTATGTCAGCGCCGCGTCAGGGCGGGACAAAGCGCGACGCGAGCGTAGGGGGGGGGGGGGGTGAGGGGGGTAGAAGAAAGAGTCGGCTTTCGTGCCGAAGGGGGAGAGCTGGCGCGGCAAAAAGTCCCGTGAAATCCCGTAAAACGAAGTCGCGGCGACGAGGGAGGCGAGTACGAGCAGGGAGGAGCGGAAGGAGAGCGATAAATATCGCTCAGCATGGAAGTTTTTATTGCGTCGAGAGTGCGAAGTGCTCCTCTCTGTCTGCTCATTTCTCGCCGCCGCCGCCGCCGTTACCGTCTTTATCTTCCGCCCTCGTCCCACTTGCTCTCGCTGTCACGAAAAGGACAAACGACTGACTTAATGTCGTTCTCCTCGTAAATCGTCGCTCTAATAATATTTCAAAGTCTAATTATCGGAAGAAAAAAAATAAAAGTTAAAAATTATTTTACGTTCGGATGATAATATTATGCATCTCAAGTAATCGGAAGATGGTATCGCGCATAAAGGTGCTTGCTTATCGTTGCAGCGAGTAACGTTTTAGGTTTACGTATTGTATAATATTAGGCGGAATGAGAGTATCAAGGTGCGACAAAATAGTCGAGGTATCCTGAGGCACGGCTATACACGTAGAGCTTGTTTACTTTTCATCGCGGCCGCGCCGTGATGCAGCGGATCCAATTACAGACAGGCCATCGTTGGCTCCGATTAATTACAGTGCCGCAGCTGCTGCTCATCCCGCTTGCGCCTCCCGCTCTATTCGTAATATTGTGTTTCGCGCTTCTCTAAATTTAGACAGCGACTTTCCGCCGAGATACGCGCCGCCATTTGCGATGCGCCAAGCGTTTCGCCTACATTTCTCAAGTTCTACGGCGAGGAGTGTTGAATTTGCAATTATATTAAAAACCGTGGAATTTATCTCGCGCACGCGTTCTAAATACATTTCTCGAAAAAGGCGCTTAAGGTGTTTGAAGCTTTTTCTGCCGACATTTATATCAAAAATAAGTATGAGAGTCGAGCTTGGCGCGGAAAATTAATACCCACGATTCGAGGGGACGGCGAGAAGGCTCAGAGGGAGGATGAGGGGGCGCAAGATGAAGTGCAGTTTGGCAAAACATCCTCTTGTTATCAGCGTATGCCATTGAAGGTGGCGGAGCGGCGTTGTTGGCAAGAACCATTCGATATATCGATCGGCGGCGACCACTTGGGCCCCAGCCCTTCATAAGCGGATTTGCATGCGTCGCATGTACGTTCACATGGCATTCGCCGGCGACAATGTGCATCCGCAAATTTGCACGGATATTAAGAACGCTGCACTTTCCTTAGCCGACAGCGAAGGACGGGAGGGAAGGATCGGTTAATTAGATGGACCGGCGTCGCGGTCGTCGTCGTCGTAAGATAATAACCGACGGTAATTAATTTGATGCGTTATGAGCTCTCGGTACCGTCATTAATGACAGAGGTGACCGTATCGTTGCAGGATGATGGCCATAATTGCCCATTCATTTTTGTCCCGACAAACGTCGCTCCAATTTTAGATATCGTCGCCGCGCCAGTTTTTTTGATTGTAATATAATTATCTTCTCATTAAAAAGATGTATTACCGTTTTTATCGCAATTACATTAGCGTATGGGATTTTTATGCGTGCATCTACTGTCTAGAAAAACGTGGAACTGTTCAGGAAATGATATTCTACCTTGGAAAAATCTCAAGAAGATTCTCAAGAAATTTTCTCAAGGCTTAAGGAGTTTTTGTTGGCACATTTTTTTAGAAAGTGATATCTTTATCCTGCAATTGCCGATTAATTTTTTACTTCTTTTCAAATTTAATATTTGAAATTTAAATGGCTCTTGATTCTTTCATGAGTAAGTTTTTTTAGAGTAAACAAATTTAATTTTAAATTGCAAATTTAAATTAAAATACAAAATATTTGTCTGGAAATTTGTTCGAAAATGCTTGGAAAACCAGGCAATTTTTCTCAAGGTTTGAGGAGAAACGCTCTCATTATAATCATTAGTATTATTTCAATTTTGAAAATTGGCTTTCACTTAAGATCTATCTATCTTTCTTGCTATATTTATCTCATTATGTCAGAACACGCTTTAAAATTCGATTTCACGTTTCTTGCTCAGCAATCCGCGTCAAGAAATGGAAAATGCGAGTCCATCTAAAACCAAGTGGCTATTATCAGGAGTAAAAAGTCACCAAGACGATATCGCAAATCATTACGCTCTCGCGAGTTCTGCGTGCGACACGAATACAATTCGCGATTCGAGCACTCGGAGTGCAATTAGCGTCAGGCGAGCAGTGCCATTTTTCAGTCCCGGGCATTTACACAGCGCGTTTTCTCCTTGTCGATAATGTGCGATAAAATGGACGAACGCGCGTCGTCGTCTTCGTCGTCGTCGTCGTCGTCGTCGTCGTCGTCGTCTAGCGGGAATTGCACGCGACCGCGTTCTCGTCGGCGCACCGTGAACCCGCACTTTCATGTTCGTCGTATAACGAAATTATGATCATTAATGAAGAACTAATTACACGCGGGTAGTCCGCGCGCGCACCGCATCACGTCGTTTTATCGATATATAAGGCGAATCGCGGTAGCTTCGAATCGATGCGAACGAAGAGCGGCAGGTATGCAACCGTTTGCTCGCCTATAAGGACTAAAAGGAGGAGGAAAAGCCATAATATCGTGTATAAAGCAAGTGGACCTCGCACTTAATTAAGACTTCTGCGCAATTAGGCAGCCTTTACGATCGGCATAAAATTCAATCATTCCAAGCACGCACGAATCAGGTTCTTCTTCCTCGCGACGGTGAAACGATCGTTGCTACAGTAGCATCTATACTTGCGTCTGTCAATTCCAGATAAGCGATTATGGAGCGGAGCTACTGTCGCGCGCGGACGCGAATCGAGGCACATCTGCTATTCTGGTATTCTTAAAAATATTTACGGCAGTCGCGACGGCAATGAAACCCGCTTTGATAGCTGCAGCAATCAATGCTTCAAACGTAGGACGCTTTCTTTCGCTGTTTTTATTCCGAGAACAAAAACGTCCGTATTTATAATGTCGGGATCGTAACGCGTAATGACTTCATTAGGGATGTCAACATTGTGAAATTAATGAAAATGAATTTGTGTAATAAATATTAAAGATATTTAAGATGTGTAAAAATTCGCGGATTTTTTTTTAATGACAAATTCTCCGATTAATTTTTTTTGCTGCATAAATGTCAATAATTTGCGAGTTACAAGCGATTGGAAAAAAGAATTAATTTTTCCTGAAGCTGTTAATTTCAAGCGAACTTCAACTTCAATTTGAAGCTTAATGGAAGCAAGTAAAAGAATGTGATAAAGTATGATTCTTCATATTTTTGCTGAGGAAAAGTCGATTTGAAATTGGTCAGAGAGAATCTGTCGTTAAAAACAGATGCTTGAATGTTAAAGCATTCTGTACACATCGCGCTGACGTATGCATTTGTGATATCATATCTAAAATCCACGTTCTCCGTTTGCTTGTTTCAGCGAGGATGTCGAGCAGCGGCGTATCGAGCGGCCCCGTGAGAGGGCCGCACTTTCACAGTTCGGTTATCCACCCGTGGCTGTCCGGCAGCAGCGCCGACACCTCGAAGACACCCTGGGGATTTCCCGCGACTATGGCGACCACGGGCGGTGCAGTGAACGACGAAAAACCGCAGAGCCCCTTAGGATCTTCGCTGCCGCCTACCACGGGTAGTCTGTCGAGTCACGGTGGCGGCGGCGCCGGTCATCATCTGTTCTCCTTTCCGCCGACGCCGCCCAAGGACGCTACGCCCGATAGCATAACCGCCGGCACGACTTCAGGCGCGTCCAACAACAATAATAATTCCACGAGCGCCAACAACAACAACAACAGCGGCAACCCGCTTTCCGGGCTGGGCGGCGGTACAACCAGCGAGTATCAAGCGGCGGTCGCTCACGCGGCGGTGATGGGCGCGTTTATGCATCATCAGGATGCGCTGGGCGCATCGGGCGCCAGTTCGTGTGACATCAAGCCGACGGTGATGCTCGGCCACCATCATGGGGCGCCTTCGCCGCCGCATCAGCAGCACAACGGCACTAACAACGGCAACAACGGTCCCGGCGGCACGAACGGCTCGTCCGGCCAGGTGAAGCAACGAGAAGGTAATAACCAGTCCGGCAGTGTGACGGGCAGCCAACAGGCGAGCGCCACGCAACAGCAGCAACAGCAACAGGACGCGTATCAGAACAACAACGGGGTGCCAGCCGGTGGCGGCGGCGGTGGCGGCGGCGGTGGCGGCAGTGGCGGCGGCAGTGCCAGTAGCAACGGCGCGGCCTCGCCCTGCAGAGATAGTTACGCGGCTGCGGCTGCAGCCGCCGCCGCAGCGGCGGCCGCGGCGGCCTCCAACAGCCACCATGCCACTTCCGGCTCGCAATACGACCCGGCCGCGAGCGCGTACAACATGTATCAACACCTGCAGTATCCCTCGAGTACCCACCATCACCATCATCATCATCACGGCGCCAACACGGCGTCGTCGTCCACCGCGTCGTCCCACAATCCGCACAACGGCAGCGCAGCGGTAGCCGGTATTTTCGGTCATCACGCCGGTACCGCGTCCGGTAACGCGACCGGCGGCCTAGCCGGCGTCGCCGGCGGCGCCGACTCGAAGCTGCTGGTCGGTCACGCGCACGGCAACACCCCGGGCTCGCCCTCCGCGCAGCAGCAGCAGCAGCAAAAGCCGAGGAACAAGTCGAGGACGTCCGCCGGTAAGCGACACGCGCCTGTCACGGTTCTTTCTGTTTTTCCTTTGGGTTATTTCCGTCTCTTTCGTTTTCCTCAGTTTTCTCTTTTCATTTTCACATTCTTCCATTGATTATATTTTTATGCGGAAAAAATGTTGGACAAGATCGAATAAGAGAATTTCTTTTTAGGGTTTGAAATTTTTACAATTTTTTTCTATTTAAAAAAGTTCAATTTTAGTCGACTGTTTCGCAACCGTTTCTATTACTCCATATATTTAAAATCTATAAATATGTTCTTTTGAAATACAATTTATTCTGAATATACAAGTGATATGAAAGATGTCTTAAGATAAAGCAAAAAAGATATAACATTTTTCCTGTGGGTAAAAAAATGTTAGAATTTTTTTCCTTTTTTATGTGTTATTTATGAATTATTTATGCATTACTTTGCATCATTGTTTGCTTTCGGCTTCGGTTTTGTTTCGCTTTTTTGCACTGGCGTCGATTATTGAAAACAAAGATATAAATTGCAGCCAATCCTCTTTCGTACATATTTTATTTTACTTCGCATTCTTAACTATTGTGGAGAATCAGATTTATAATATTTTTTCATAGAATTTGTATAAATTCAACATAATCGACGCCAATTTTATTTATAATTTTATAATATTATTTCTCCCGTTATGTTCGATTAAATTTTTTACTTAGTCTTCAAGATATTTTTTATTTTAATTATATTTTTGTGTCACCTGTATTCTCCTGCGCTTAATGTCCACTCGATATATTTTTCAAAAACATCTCTGGACATATAAACGGCGGAGAGGTACAGGTTGAACATTTGTTTTGATATTATTTTTTAATTTTTTGATTTTAACCGTGAGCTTTCGGTGGCGGTCGTCTTACGCTTCGTTCAGAACACGTTTTTCCACCCGTTTCTCTCGTTTTTTGAACGAGCTGTGTCACAATAGAGAGAAAGAGAGGGAGGCACTGACTGTGGTTTTTTGTATTTTGCCTCACTGATGTGTTTTTTGCGTGGCACCCACTCGAGAGAGCGAGCGTGAAGCACCACACCCGATTTCGGAGATGACACACATATATTTATATATACTTATATGTCCCTCTCTATATAAATACACATACTCAACGATCTTTTCACACACATACAACACACACAAGCCTATATACATTCATACGCGCGCGACACATATACACGCGCCAAGATACGGAAAGAAGCACAAATTTTTTTTCGATGTGGTGTGGCTAGCGCTGCGTTTTTGTTTTTGTCACGGCATAGCTCCCTCTCAAAGAGTCCACGGATCATTTTTCGGCGGCGTGTCTCCGTCGATATATATTTTTTTTCGTCATTGCGAACACGCGCGGGTGAGTCGCATACGTCGCGGACTCGCGGATCATAGGCCACAATTGTCGCTCGTAAAATCCGATAGCGTGATGCACTCAATGAGAGAACGTGCGCGAGTCCTCGAGCGATCGACGAACTTTTAAGAAATTATGTGTTCATGTTCGGTGGCGTCCGCAGTGTCATCGTCGTCGGAGTAAACGGAGTCGAGGAAGAAGCAGGTCGCCGCGAAGGGGGGAAACGAGAAACGGTTGAAAAATGCCGGATACGCTGATTGCGGTAATAATAGACGGTCGCTCTGCGGTGTGGCGGCGGCGGCGGTGGCGGCGGCGGCGTGGTAAAAATCCCAATTCCGGGAACAATGGCCCCCGGCTTCGCGCCATGGAAGCCCGCTAATTGAATCGACTTACGACACACACCAGCACCGCAGTCGCGCGGCGGAGCCTCTCTCGATGACGAAGGCGAGGAAGAAGCCAGACGGAGCTCGCGGCGACGGTGACGGCACCCGCGGCTCGTTTAGCGACGCCTACCGCGATCTTGCCGGGAAAATCGGCCCGTGAGAAGGCCGCGAAAAATGGCTTCCGCAATGGAGAAGTTGCCCGTTGCTCGAGAGGTGTCGATTGTGCAATATCTCGCGGCAGACACGGCGGGATTGGCAAATATCCTTCGCGCGCGATGTGAAGGAGACGGGGCGGAACGAGAGAAACTCGACGGATACTGGAGATTCCCTCTCCGTGCGGATGGATGAAATAACGAATGACGCGGCCGGCTCAGAAAGAGATAATTAATATAGGAACAATAGGCAGGGATTAATGTGTCGATAATAAATCGCGCGGGTTCATCGGACGTGCTAAAAGGCGCGCGAATAATATATATAATATATTATCGATAAACAGATATCTATCGAGCTTTGTTTTGTTAATTAGAAATTGCGGCCGAACGTTTTCACTTAAAAATTTCGAAACATCGCGAACGCTCTATATTACAGCTCGATAGTGTCGATCGAAATAATTCAAATTGATAAATTAGAAATTATTAGGGAAATATTCGCGCGCGTGGCGAAGGAGTTAATTAGGTGATGCGGACCGCGCCAGAAAGTCATCGAGAGGGAAACAAGGAGCAGAAGCTCCGCGCGGCGAGTCCCGTTAGTTTCGAAAGGATCGCGGAATTACTGCGCGGCAATTAACGGCGGAAGAGAAGGAGGCGAGTGTAGAGAAGGAAGAGAGGCCAGCCGTGGGCCCAGCGCGAAATTCGTGACGGAACGCCGCTTCCTTCGTACTGAATCATAACTCGGCCGCTGATGACAGAAGTGGCACGGGACAAGCAGCGGCTTCCTTCCTCCACTTCGCCGATTTTGCTCGCGACTGCTGGTGTCTAGGCTCTTTCGGCCCTAAACAAGATACGATCCTTCTCCTCTAATTTTCGCGATTAACAATCGATACGTCTGGCCGCGGCGGTGAACTTCGTAAAACGCTTGTGAGGGAATGGCATGACGTTTTCACGAAATACTTGATACAGGCAACAAGTAAAAATGTATATTAACTGATACGTTGTCCTTGTAAAAATAAAAATACTATGTTTTTTTTTATGTGTGAGATTGCATATAACAAAAAATAAAGAGAAGATAAAATTTCTTAAAATAGTTTTGGTTTATTCGAATAATTAAATGAAGACAATTTTTGAAACTTTACTAATTTGATTATAATTAAATACTAAATTGATTACTTTAATTCTAGAATTTTCGATAATACCGACACGATTTCGTACTATCAGGTATTTCGTGCCGTAATCCGGAAAGCTGCGAGGAAGTCGAAACGGAAGCGAGCGCCTAACGAGCGCTTCGTTGCATGCCTGATGTTAAGGTCGAAAGGTGAGGCCGAAAATGGGAGACGACGTCAGTCCGTTTGGGGTGAAACCGGCCATTTCGGCGTCACCTTCTGACACGAGGACGATATTTCGCGTACGACGCAAACGAGCGTCACCTCGCGACGTTTCGTGGCTGATATCCATCGTCTGCGTCGGTGTCAGAAACTGTCCGTCCGTGTTCCATCGCCACGAGCGGGTGGATGGATCGATAGTGCGAAGAGGCATCGGTACGAGGAAATACGCGCGGCTGGAAATTATTATTACAGCGATATACGTTCCGAGAAGCGACAAACAATCACCATTACCGCGCGAAATCGATCGATAATAAATAAAGTAAAAAAAAATTATTCCCTGAAAAAAATAAAACGTAAAATTGCTGTCTATGTGCAAGATAGAATCAATTAGAAAATAAATACAATTATCAAAGAGAGAATCAGAATTTGATCAGTAATCAGCGAGGTGTCTGGAATTAAATCGGAGAGCAGCGAGGGAATCAAAATCGATTTATGCCGCTCTGTTGTTGTCGACATGTGGATTGCGGAACGCAGCAATCGGCGATCAATCGTTATCACCCCCGAATCTGTGGGACGGTAAGACGCAAATCGAATTAAAACGCCGCAGAAGAGTAACCCGGGGTCCTTCCAATTAGTTCCGAGATCGATCCGGAGCACCGAAGTGGCAATTAGGCGAGCCTTTTAAGCCCCCTGTCGAATCCGGTTTGCGAGATGCAAGGATCTCGCTCGCGAGGCTGCGATTTCGCATACGCGCGAGAAACGAAAAGACTGACGTTCCGATTGCTCCGTTATGGATTCATCCGCGCGGTGGACTCGCAAACGAGCCGCTCGCGTGTCGACAATTACATGCGACCTACGTTACGTGCGCTGGAATTATTCCGCCGCCGTCGAATTTCACGTTTAAATCGAGGTCGAGTCATTAATCAGCGACGCGCGCTCGATCGATATCGCGATTACAGACACGATCATCTGACACCTTTTCGGAATTAATATTGTTCTTCAAATTATCCTTTGCGTGAAGATTTCGTCCAGCAATTTCGTCCTTCGTCTAAATACGTTTCACAAGACACACGACATTACGAATCCTTAATCGAAATACATTTTAAACGATGGATATCAACCACAGGATTGATTATGTCAAATCACAATCGAAGACAAATGATTCGCAATTGCAAATAGCGCGAGGGCGGCTTTTACGAGCGTTTTAAAGATCACCAAATGGCCACTGCGAACGGAATGGTTTACTTTTACGTCGAATCGTGCTCGGTCGTACGGTCGTGTAACAATCGCACAATCGGCAATTCGGTCCCTCGTGCGCTTATGGGCAACCCGACGACGCAAATCCTTAACAGCAAATCCTTTTCAGTAGCGGCCGATAAACTCGGTCGCGCCGCCGCGGAGGACGCAGCTCGGAGGACGATTTCGAGAGACGTGCATTTCGGGAGAAGTGATCCTTGCTGTCTTCTCAACGATCCTCTCTCCTCTCCGTCCGAGACGCGTGTTGCGCGAAGATCCAAATTTGTTTTCGCTAATTCTCGCGAGGAAAAAGTGCTTTATTACGGCTACATCACATTGATATTTGTAGAAAATAAATTTGGATTTCGAGCAGCACGATTCTACGACCGGAAGAAACGAACAATCGCGAATCCCGGTCCTCCCCTTTTTTTATATACTCGCTTCTGTTTCTCTCACAGTGTCCTTGGGAGAATAACCAACCGCACTAACTAAACGTAAGTTCGATCCGTGAATCCTACCAACGTCCATGGTCTTAAAGAGACTCTGCTTTTGCTCTGGTAATCGCTTGATATGGTATGTCTGCAACTGCATGCGAATTCTCTCTCACGAGTCACTTGACTGTTTGCAAATCTCCCTGTGAACGGCACGTTGATCCATCGAAATCAAATGTATTAAATTAAAAAATTGCTCACCACGCAATATCTTTGAATTTTATGCGAAATTTCTGAGCAATCTGAAAACATATTAATCCGAAAAAATTTCTCTGCAAAAAAATTACGAATAGAAAGAATAGATATTATACGAATGGTATTTTCGTCAGAATAAAAATGTTCAAATATTGAGTGAGTGAAAAGAATTCTCAACTTACGCACAAAATTGAGAACGAAATTTATCAATTTCAGAAAACATTGTTTTTCGACCTTCGGTCGATCAACGTGCTTTCGAGTTTGCGCGAGAAACGTCGGGATCGAGTTTCCGAGGAGGAATCTAAACTGTTTCCATTTTAATGGCACACTTTGACAACTCTATCTCGCATTTCGCACGCGGACACGAACGAGTAATATCGTTTGAACTATATTGATGCCGTATTAACATGATTTTTATTCCGTCGGGATGGTAGAGGGTCGCGAATGCGTCAACTGCGGCGCCACTTCGACACCTCTCTGGAGACGAGACGGCACCGGTCACTATCTGTGCAATGCCTGCGGACTTTATTACAAGATGAACGGACAGAATCGACCTCTCATCAAGCCGAAACGACGCCTGGTAAGTACCTAAGCTGTGTTACTTTTTTCACGAGCAAAATATGACGAGATCTCTCATACGATCTTAATCGATCAACAATTATTAAAATCGGACAAAAATTGCACATAAAACGAAGAATCAATCAAAATATAATAAAAATAATTCTTTAAGTAGAAGAGAATTTTGTGTTTCACGTCTAAAAAGGTTTAATACTGCTTATATTTTGCTCATATGTATTATTCATGCCTTAATAAGGCTCGATTGAACTAAAAATGGCGAGGAAATGCACAGTTGGCGTTTTACATGATAAACCCGCGATACATCGGTCGAATGAATTTATTAATGATATCAGGGAACATTGTGATATCTCAATCTCGAAAAAGATTCTATAATACCTCTAGTCTAAGTCTAGTCGCCGTATTCGTAAAAGTGCGTCCTTGATCGCTTCCTCGCAAGCGCGAGGCACACATACTTAATTAATTAGTACGTACGTAGCGTGGCGAGAACCAAGTTATGCGTTTCTCGCGCTGTGTAGACGTGTAGTAATCAGAATGCAAGATAAAACAAGGCCAAGTTAATTTCCTGTACCCGCTGATTAATACTAGGCTCCCGCTCTTCCTCTCCGCCGTGATTAGCAACTCTGTATCGCAATTCGCCCAGTGACGGTGGCAGGTCGAATGATTTTTCGTAGTCGGAGGATTCTCGTTACTGTGCGTTAGAGAACGTACTTCGTAATATCCTACATTAACGAGAACGTCCTGAAGAACACCTTAGTCACGTCGAAGGCGAAACACTCCGCGATCTAATCAAATTCAAATTGATTGTTCCGAGCGGCGGCGATGCGAGGTAAATTCCCTCTCGCATGCGATATTTTACGCGAGACGTGCAATTTTTTTACACGCGTAGGCCAGCTTCGAAAATGAGGCAAGATAAATATTATTTAAATCGCGATCTGCAAAAATTGAAAAAATGAGTATATTGTTGTAAATTACATCGCGATACGTCTGCGCTAAATTTATCGTCTCGTGTCTTGAAAAAATGCGGCTTAGTTTTTTACGTTTTCAATCGCGGCGGCGAATCATCTGTGTATATCAGGACGCCGACCGTTCGATCGATATCACGAACGGTAGCCGGAGGTTTCGTGCGATCGGCTCGTAGAATTCGTGTGAACTCGATCTATTTTTGGCGACCCGGCTGGCACCTATGTAGATGGAGCAGCCTCGTCCGAAGTACCGATGCGGAAATTCGATACCACCGTACCCTGCTTCCTCCTCCGTCGTCGTTTGGACTCTCCTCCTCACTGCGATTCGATCTGACTAAACACTCACGGCAATTCGCGGAATCGATCACGAAAGCAACGTCGGCTTTATAGTTTACACTCTCCGTCTGTCTAATCACATATTGCGGGAATCGAATTTTTCTTTTTTTTTCATCGCATAACATTTTTTGCAAGCAGCATCGGTTTATGGCGGCAGATTTAGTATTTAAATTCTCGCATAAATCAGCAAAATTTTCTTTAAAGATTAACATTAATTTTAATATGCAAATGAGCATAAGTGACAGTTTATTAAGATTAATTGTAAATCAGAGAAAATGATTTTCTTTTATTTTTGTCGCGTTAAGTATGAAACTAATATTTTCAAATATTTTACATGTGAGTTCGTAGTATTTTCTTGAAGAAATAACAAGCAAGCTTTCGACGGAGATATTTTTAAAATATTCGCTAACGAGCATATGTACATGCGTCAATGTCGAAAGTATTGTGATTAAATATGCAGTCTGCGTGAAAAAGAAAAGGATTGTGGACCTAATTAGATGTCCACCGAGTACGCTCGTTGTACTTTCGCGTGCGCAACACCTCACGAATTGCAGAGCTCGCGATATTTCGAAACGAAGCTCCAAGTGCATTTTTCTCATCGAGAACGCGCAACGAGCGAACCGAAGCGCATATCGCTCTGATGCAAAAGCGCGGCGGCTGCATTGACGTTTCACTATCCCTCTCGTTGTTGCACTTTCTCTTCGGTGTGCGATAGAGCAAAGCTGATGGATTCACAAGTTTTTCACCCGCGCGCGTCTCCTCAAAGATTATGTGCCGACTGCACGCCACGCGTTCATTAATTGACGAAGTTTTACAAACAACAACACCGTCTCGCAACAAGGTGTGATTTCTCGCGAATAATTTTTCTTTTTTAACCAGCTTAACGCGCTCGGACTGTTGCGATTTCGCTCAATCGAATCGCGCGAAACTTTGTGCAATTTTAGAGGAAAGTTATTCATAAACTTTGTTTTAAATTTTTGATTATTTACGTGAGATAGCGTTTTTTTTTTCTTAAATCGTCCTACCATTAAAATATTTAACATGCGAGAATTGGAAAATCGAAATTTGTCAGAGAATTAGTGATTAGAGTGTCAAAAGGTGGCGAGACATTTTGCGTGCATATGAAGTGTGCACATTCGACTATACATAATTTATCCGCTGTCACCGTTTAAACAAAGACAATCGTTCCGGGCGTTCGCCATGACGACCCGTACAAATATTGTGACGCGATGATGAACTGACACGCCCACCCATCATTCATTTGCGTGGACGCACACACACGTAAGCGCGTCGTCTCGGCCGCGGTCGATAAAATATGTATCGATTTGAAGCGGTGGGCGTACGCATACACACACGCGAGTGCGACACTTTCGGCTTAATTTCCTCGTCGCGGAATAGCGGACACCTTTTTTCCGGACTATTCATCGCGCGCCGTTTACTTGTCCCCGCTTGCTTCCGGATTAAAAATTCATGCTGCCGCTCGGCCGAAATTCATCCCCGATTGCTGGTTGTTCCGCGCGAAATGACGGCCGATCGTTTGGCGATCGATCGACCCCGTTTGGTAAACGATGCCGTATGTATAACAATAGCATTCCGCCTGGGAAAATAGCTCGTTTATTATTCAACGATTGGTATTCGGGTATGAAAATATAGCGAAATGGTGTGTCTTCTTTATCGTAAAAAAATCCATAAAATTAGATTCTTAAGACGATAAAGACTTAAAAAAAAAAAAGAGTCTAGTCTGAAGTGGAAAAGTGAATCCACTCTCAAATGGATTCTCGAGTACGATTAATATCGCGACATTGCACTCGCTTGAAGTGTCGAATGGTTTCGGAAAAGGGGATGCGCGCTAGGCGCGCAAAGGCATATGCCTCCGTCACAATATGCTGCATTTTTAGCGGCCGTTCGAATCCGGTGTCACAGATGTGTCACCGAAAAGCGGAGAGCAGATACGATCTGGGAAACAAAAGGCGACCACCAGGTATGCGCACGCGGGTGTCCGTCGGCCCCGCCACCCGTATATAATAAAGTCGTGGCACATATTGCCCCGCCGCTCCCGTGTCCTCTCCTCCTCCTTTGTGCGTATCGAGCTACACGGAAATTCTACGCACACGCGTGCGCCGTGAACTTCTGCGACGGCGAGTTTCGATCAGGCAGATAGCAAGGGTTGAAACACCCTCCCTCCCGATGCGACCGACCTCCGCCATGTTTGATCCTTCGGGAAGATAGGCCGGCTCGAACAGCTGGGAAATTTTCGGTTTTTTTAACCTCCCCCCTCCCCCCCTCTCTCTGTCTGTGGTCTTTCTCTTCTTTTGCCCCTCCCTACTCGGTCGCCAAGGGTGGTTACCTATTTATCTTTGCGATATACGCGGATATACGGGGTGAAACACTCTCTCTTTCATAGCGTTCATAGCGCGACATGGCGCCGATCTGCGTTTCGTGAGAGAATACGCGGGATATGGAACAGTTTCAGCTTGATTATTGGCGATAGACATTTGTTGAATCGTTTAATATAGTTGAAAGCATCAATAAGGTATTTTATTACCGGTATTTTTATTTAAAAAGTCAAAGAAATTTTCTAATAATGTTCTAATACTAAAATAGAAGAGTTTATTTTATAAGAGCTGAATTTAGGAAACACTAAGTGTACAACTCGCTTCAGCATTTTCATGATTCTATAAAACTAATAAATGTTTTTTTTTCGCGAGAAAATAATACGATAACGGATTCTCGCTACCGGAATCGATTCTCGAAGCCGTCACACGCGGAGAAATGATCTTTTGGTGGAAGCCGCGAGCTGCGAGTTCTCATAGTCGAAGTAAAAAAAAGAAGACATAGCGCAAAGGACAGATGGAGAGAGCAAGAGAGAGAGTAATCTTTTGCGCGCGGAGTCGCTCGTTAGCGACTGTCCTACACGCTCTCCTGCCTCCCTTTTCTTCCCTCTCGTCCTCGGCGATGCTTATCTGCGCTCATGCCGACCCATGCCCGTGCAACGATCGCCGAGTTACGGTTCTCCAGACGTTCTCCTGGACATTCCAGCGGAAGCTGCGCGCTGCCGCTGCAACCCCGGTGAAAACCCGTTAAATCTTTGGCCACTGAAGACACATAATGCGTGCGACAGTGAACTTGGTAAAATGTTCAGAAATAATAAAGGTATTCCTTGATTATTCTTGATTATTATCAAGACTGTATTTAAATTTCTGACGACGTTATCGCATGAGAAGCGTTTTTTTTGTATTACCAAATATTCTGTTTAAATGTCAGAGACAAAAAGACGTTCACAAGAATCTCGAGAATTCATTTCGTCGAGAAGTGACAAGACGACTCCAGACTTTGTAGAGCGATTTTATCTCTTCGACTTATTCTCTTCGACTCTTCAGGTAGTCAAGATGGCGCGTTACAGAGAGCGAAAAATAAGCGAGCGAAAGATCTTCGGGTGCAAAGGGTTATCCCCATCGATCTGCATATGGAAAATGAATAGCGCATTCTGTGTGCGTCAGGATCGAAATTGTGCTACGACCATCCCGACGCTCACGCATTGTGTCAGCGACGTTGAAAACTTCTTCTTACGAATTCTCATGAAATAGGCAGTCGGCCGACGCGGCAATATTTACTCGGTATGCAGAAACCACTTTTGCATGCTAAAAATATCAGTGTTACAATAACATAGAAATTTCGGCAAGGTTTTTAGTAGCTTTGTGAC